TGTTCACTAGCTAATTTGAAGTTGTAATTGGTTCTTGGTGCCTGCTCGTGCTTTGATCCTTTGCACAAAGCCCATCGGCTGAAAAGCTGTATAGTAGAAGCAGAACAAAACTTAGTAATTCCTGAATATGCCTACTTTTGTTTGTCAGTGTAAGTCAGTGGAAGATTTCCCTCTGGAAACAGTTCTGATGCTCTCTTTGCTGATTGGATTCTGCCTCCTTTGGGTTGCTACATGAGATGAACACACCTTGGCCAGTGGATTTTTTCATCAGGTCCTATGTGCTCTGAGGAGTGTGCAGCTATCATACTTGTACACACACAAAATGTTAGTGAAATGCTACCCAAGCCTTAATTAGCAGGATTATAGCTTAAGCAGGGAGACAAAATCACTGACTGAAAGATTTGCTGTTTTGCAGGTTTCATCTGTCATTGTGTTTCAAGCCATCATTATAGCATGTATATGTTATACACTCAAGGCCCTGTGATGCCTATAATCCTTGCTAAGAAGGTCTAGGTCTCATACTTCACAATTTAAAAAAGAAAAACCAAAGCAACAACAACAAAAAATCACCCCACAAGAACAACAAAAAAAAACAACTTGTGAAGAAGTCTTGCTGTAGAAAGGCCCATCTAAAACAAAACACCTGCTTGTAATTGTCCAGGGAGGACCACTGTCTCCTTTCTGTGAGGAATTATTATATATCTACTCAAAGTGGTGTGTGGAAACTGAAGACAGACTGACTTGGATTTAATATGGCTAAATAAAATAAACTTTATAAAGTACGAAGTTTTATGTAGACTGTCTCCATTTCTGGTAAAGGTAAAATGATTTACTATTTACCTTTGAATACCTAATGTATTTTTTCCCTTCCAAGGCATTGTTGGATAGCTGCATGATTGAATCAGGCACTTTATTCCCATTGATGTGACCTCATAATTGCCCTTGTTTTCAAGTCAGCTCAATAATTTTTGGTTGAATGTGGCATCCCTCTCCTCTGCGTGTGTGCTTTTTGCCTGTTCACTTGGAAAATAATACCAAAATACAAGAGGTTTGATTGCTTTGGGAGTTACACTCAGATCATATTTATATTAGAGAATTTTAAATGCAAATTGAGGGTAGCTATTGTTCAGTGCAGGAAGCTGCTTTGTCCTGTTTGGTACCTGAGGATTTCTTTCGGTGTTTCAATAGAAGGATATTGGATGGTGCTGTTTGTTGCTGTACCCAGGTTTCAGAGAAGGATATGATTAGAAGGATATTAAATTTTACTGTTTGTTGCAAGATCTAGATTCCTGTGACATGAACAAACTTTTTCAGCTTCCATTTAAGGATTTCTAGTTTTATGAGTGTTTCTGCAAGGAACAGGGCCTTTCTTGTTTTGGAATTCCTCTCTCTCTATTCTGTTTATGCAACATTTGCACGGCTGCTGTCGAGTCCATAAAGGAATTGAAGATCCACGAAGAGACGTATTTATTTTTAAGTCTAAGACTGGTTTCTTTTCTAAGCTGGTCTCTATGGCCACCTGTCTGATCTGGCCTTTCAGTTGTGCTGCCAAATACATGGTTCTGCTTGGTTCATAGTTACCATTTGCAGTCTTCTCTGGTTAGTTTTCATGTGCACTTACTCTGTTTTCCATATGCTGAATGCATGTGCTGGGCATAGCTGGGATAATGCAGCAGTAAGCAGATCCTGCATATGATGAAAATGGATCAAATCATAGAATCATAGAATCTTAGGGGTTGGAAGGGACCTCGAGAGATCATCTAGTCCAACCCCCCTGCCAGAGCAGGGTCACCCAGAGCACATCACACAGGAACTCATCCAGGTGGGTTTTGAATGTCTCCAGTGAGGGAGACTCCACAACCTCCCTGGGCAGCCTGTCCCAGGGCTCTGTCACTCTCACAGTAAAAAAATTTTTTCGGATATTCACCTTGAACCTCCTATGCTCCAATTTACACCCATTACCCCTTGTCCTGTCACTGGTCATCACTGAGAAAAGCCTAACTCCGTCCCCCTGACACTCACCCCTTACATATTTGTAAACATTGATGAGGTCACCCCTCAGTCTCCTTTTCTCCAAGCTAAAGAGACCCAGCTCCCTCAGCCTTTCCTCATAAGGGAGATGTTCCACTCCCTTAAATTTACTCAAATATACACAAAAGCACTTTGGTGCTCACCCCCTGCCCCCCAGGAACGTCCATGGCTGAGTAACTGAGGCTGCAGGGCAGACCCTGGAAAAGTCCTCAAGTTGGCTCCTGGGATCAGCATAAAACCATGGTTTGGGAAGCACAGGTTGATGTTTGAGTGTTGGCTTCTACCAGCGAGATCTAGATCCTTTACCTGCTCTGAGCGGTGGGAACTGTAGCATCAAGTCCTTGGCTCACGCGTGGGAGAGCGTATCTTAGGAGGTTTGGAAAACACGCCTAGCTTCCTAAAGATTATTTTCTAAGGAAGTAAGACCTCCCTTAGCCGTCCCAGCGGACGTGCCGCAGTGCTAGTAAGCCTAACACCGACGGCAGCAAACAACACTGCGCAGGGAGCGTCATTTTTTTGCTGCCCTTCACAGCCGAAAGACTTGGGACGTTTTTCCCTGGCTGACAAGCACGCTCACCGGCTCTCCGTGCCGTGGATCAGGGCCCCGTGTCGTTCCCTCCCGCAGGAATTCCAGCTCAAGCACCCCCCCC